TTTTGTCTAGGACACAAATGTCTATGCACCGTTTTCTGGAATTTGCTACACTGAATTAATCAGCCTTCGGAATTAATTTGACTTTGTGCTACTTTGAAGTGTAAAGCTTCAAGAGCCAAGTTGTAAGAATTGTTTACTGAAGTTTGAAAAAAGATACGACCTGAATTTTTTTGTTCATTACAAATGGTAAGTATTTCAATAAGAAAAATCAAACAGAAACACGCTATTCGAAATTGTGCGTTTCTTTTTCTGTTCAGGTGTATAATACCATGCAAAAAAAATGTCTTGTTTCTCCCGCAAGTCTTCAAACGAAAAAACCAAATTAGTGAAATTGGATATTGATCAGCTAAACAATAATGGTTACCGTGAAAAACTATTATGAACAACGTATATGTTCATGTTTGACTGAAGATCTTTTAGTTTGTTTTTGTTAAAAAATTAAATGCCGAAAGAAAATTCAGTCATTTTTTGTTGGTCAATGTTTTTTTTAGTGTTCTCCAGAATCCTCTTCCAGATAAACACACACACACAATTCAACATTGTTTATTCGTTTGAAAACTTAGCAATTTTTTCGTCAGAAACTAATATGTCTGTAAGTGCTTAATTTGAAGATTTGCTCGCAAAGTGGTACCAAGTTTTCTGCATGTTATTCTAAAATGAAAATAAGACGTCAGACCTTCCAACGATGTAGTTCTGTTTGCTTCTGCAAAAATCTGTTGATGAACGAAGTTACTTAGCACGGGTGTTTTAATCTTTTTTTAAATATCAGGATTGAGTTCTTGATTTTTTCGCTTAAGTTATACATCTTAGCTATTGAACTCACGAGTTCTTAGTTACTTCACATCTATCTATCTATCTATCTATCTATCTATATCTATCTATCTATGTATCTATCTATCTATCTATCTATACTATATTTAAATGCAAGAGACAGCTATCTCCCATGTTTAAGCATAATAATTTTGCTTTTTTAACGAAAGAATTTTTTCATGTTTAAGCTATATCATATATTGCAATGCTTAAGAAAACTTTTCATTTAGTTTTCCGCATGGTCATTAATTTTCAGTAATTTTTTGCGAGGCTGTCTGTATACCTGCTTTGATAATTAATTTGATTATGTCTCTACCCGTCTCCTAATTTTTTAAATTTTCATCTATCCATTACATATTTAAATACGGACTTCACTATCTCTCCCGGTATAGGCTTTTTCAACGTATTATTTTTGCATATTTAGCAAAAGAATTTTTTCACGTTTAGGCTATATCGTATATTGCTATGGTTAAGGTTTCTTTTCGATTTTCCAGTTTAATTTCACTGTTTATTTCATCAAGTTTGAAATTAGCAACCTAAAAGTGGGATGTTGTCAGAGTTTTCCCAGGTGTTGCGATTCTGGCTTCCATATATGAATAATCAAATCCTTTTAGTTTACGAGATAGGCAATTTTCGAGATTTTTCAAAAACTTCTAGAAAAATAAATTTTAAAAAATTTCTCCTTTTTTGAAATTCTCACTCTGTAGTTGGGTGCTGTCAGGGTACTCTCAGGGGTTGCGAATCTTGCCTCCAAATCTCCCTTCCAAATCGTTGTAAATTTCGAGATATGACGTTTTTTTAAATGATTTTTTCAAAAAATTTCAAAAACTTGAAGATCTCATTCCTGTTGTTGGATACTGCGAAACTACTCTCAGGGGTTGCGAATCTTGCCTCTGATTATGAAGTTTTTTGATATGTGACGTTTTTTTAAGATTTTTTCAAAGTTTTTCAGAAAAATTACATATAAAAAGTTTCACAAAATTCGATATTCCCATCTCTATGGTGAGGCTGTGTCAATATTTTTTTGTTTTTCCAGATGTTCTTGATATTGCAGACTGTTTGTTGCAAGAGTTTTTTGAACATATAAAAGTGTTAGTTTTTGGAATATCTTGATAAACAGTCGGTGAACGCAGTGAAGACTCATATATCTCTAGCTGATTTTTTTTGTGGAGAAAAATGTCTTAAAATGCTCGAATAACTAAATAAGTGCATTCATAAGTTGAAGATCTCATTCCTGTTGTTGGTTATTGTGAAGCTACTCTCAGGGGTTGCGAATCTGGCCTCTGATTATGACGTTTTTCGAGATTTGACGTTTTTTTTTAGGATTTTTTTTTCAAAATTTTTCAGAAAAATTACATATAAAAAAATTTCACAAAATTCGATATTCGCATCTCTATGGTGAGGCTCTCAATGTTTTTTGTTTTTCCAGATATTCTTGATTTTGCAGATTGTTTGTTCCAAGGGTTTTTTGAACATATAAAAGTGGTAGTTTTTGGAATATCTTGATACACAGTCGGTGAACGCAGTGAAGACTCATATATCTCTAGGTGATTTTTTTGTGGATAAAATGTCTTAAAATGCTCGAATAACTAAATAAGTGCATTCATAAGTTGAAGATCTCATTTCTGTTGTTGGATATTGTGAAGCTACTCTCAGGGGTTGCGAATCTTGCCTCTGATTATGACGTTTTTCGAGATTTGACGTTTTTTTTTCAAAATTTTTCAGAAAAATTACATATAAAAAAATTTCACAAAATTCGATATTCGCATCTCTATGGTGAGGCTCTCAATATTTTTTGTTTTTCCAGATGTTCTTGATATTGCAGACTGTTTGTTGCAAGAGTTTTTTTGAACATACAAAAGTGTTAGTTTTTGGAATATCTTGATAAACAGTCGGTGAACGCAGTGAAGACTCATATATCTCTAGCTGATTTTTTTGTGGAGAAAAATGTCTTAAAATGCTCGAATAACTAAATAAGTGCATTCATAAGTTGAAGATCTCATTCCTGTTGTTGGATATTGTGAAGCTACTCTCAGGGGTTGCGAATCTGGCCTCTGATTATGACGTTTTTCGAGATTTGACGTTTTTTTTAGGATTTTTCTTTCAAAATTTTTTAGAAAATTACATATAAAAAAATTTCACAAAATTCGATATTCGCATCTCTATGGTGAGGCTCTCAATGTTTTTTGTTTTTCCAGATATTCTTGATTTTGCAGATTGTTTGTTCCAAGGGTTTTTTTGAACATATAAAAGTGGTAGTTTTTGGAATATCTTGATAAACAGTCGGTGAACGCAGTGAAGACTCATATATCTCTAGGTGATTTTTTTGTGGATAAAATTGTCTTAAAATGCTCGAATAACTAAATAAGTGCATTCATAAGTTGAAGATCTCATTCCTGTTGTTGGTTATTGTGAAGCTACTCTCAGGGGTTGCGAATCTTGCCTCTGATTATGACGTTTTTCGAGATATGACGTTTTTTTAGGATTTTTTTTTCAAAATTTTTCAGAAAAATTACATATCGCATCTCTATGGTGAGTCTTTTTCAAGGTACTCTCACGAGTTGGAAATTTTGCCTGCAAATATGACTGCTCAAATCCTTGTATGATTTTATGATTTTTTATGACGTTTTTATGATTTTCTCCGAAATTTTCAAAACAAATTAGATGTTAAAAAATTCCAAAGCGTTGAAGATCTCAATCCTGTTATTTGAATCTGTGAGGGTACTCTCAGGAAGTTGCGAATCTTGCCACTGAATGTGGATGCTCAAATACTTGTAATTTTGGAGATATGACGTTTTTAGGTTTTTCTCAAAATTTTTCAGAGATCTTAGATATAAAAACTTTCACAAGACTTGAAATTACTATCTATGTAGTAAGGTTTTGTCAGGTAACTCTCAGGAGTTGCGAAATTTGTCTCCAAATATGACTGCTCAAAAGCTTGCAGTTTTTCAGATATGACGTTTTTGTGATTTTTTCAAAATATTTTCATGAAAATTCAATTATTTTTTTTTTCAAAAATTGAAATTCCTAACCTGTAGTTGAGGGCAGTCAGAGTAGTCTCAGGGGTTATACAATGTAAAATTGGACTCCAAATAAGAATGCCCAAATCTTTGAAGTTTAGGAGATAAGACGATTTGTGTGATTTCCTTGGAACTTTTCAGAAAACTCAAATTACAAAATAATTCACTAAAGTGAAATTCCCATCCCTGTAGTTGTGTGCTGTCAGAGTACTTTCAAAGATTGCGATTATTGCCATAAAATAAGGCTGTTGAATCTTGGTAGTTTTCGAGATGTGAAAATTTTCTGGTTCTCGAAAACTACGATTTTTAGAAAACTTAAGGTGAAGTTTTTAAAAATTTGAATTTTCCATTGTTGTAGTTGTTACTATAAGAGTACCGTCAAAACTTGCAAATATTGTGTCCAAATGCGACTGCTCAATTGCTTTAAGTTTCCCAGATGTGACGTTTTATAGTTCATTTTAAATTTTTCGAAGAACTTCACAAAGTATTATGGTTCTTCAAAATTTGTATGAAAAACTTGAATAATAAACTTTGCTAAGTTTGTAATTACGAACCTTGTAATTGGGTGCTGTCAGAGTACACTCAAAGAATGAAGATCTTTTTTCCAGTATATGCGGTTTATTATGAGTACCGGAGGTGCGTTACACGCTAGTTCTACTTCATTTGGCAAATGGAACGTAAATTTTGCTCTCCGATAAAAAAAAACATTCGAATATTAGACTGTTCAGTGCAATAAATATATCTATTCATCTTAGTTTTCTGGAAGGGGTTAATTTTTTCTGAAGTCAATCAAGAAAGATTCTTGAAATTCAAAGAACGGAGATAGCTTTTACATAATTATATTCGATTTCTCTTGAGATCGTTGAGACTTTTCTGACCAACTGGTCGCAATGTAATGTTTTTTTTGGCTTCTATTTGTTGCTGTTTTCAATTATTTTTTCTCTGTCTCGCGATAAAGATCCTTCATGATAAGAGCGCGTTGGTTTCAAGAGCGCGATCTCAGATAAATAGCGAAAAAAAATTATATATATTTATTTAACCAGGAGCACAGTAGTAATTCTATGTGAACGTTTTCACACTCATTGAACCTATCATCATCGTCTCCATCATGGTATTTTCATTAGTTGTTTCATTTCTTTAAAATAATCTCCTGATTTTTTTCGCAGATTGTTTTGTATGATGTCATCTTCCTCTTCAGCATCTCATAGTGAACCCCTCTTCTCTTACGAGACAGTTTGTGCAATCAAAGATGACCTCCAGTCCAAACTAGGGGGGAGGAGTCCCTCTTTTGGGATCATACTGGGCAGTGGGCTGGGGGGACTGGGTGAACATATCGAGGATGCAGTTATTGTGGATTATGGGGATGTGAAATGTTTTCCTAAATCGACTGTTGTCGGACACAAAGGTAACTTCAGCTCTCGGTTAAGATCAATTTTTCTTATGAATTTAATATCGTGAAAAATGCGTTCTTAAGTTCTTCTTTTTAAATTCTTGTTCACAGCAGATATTGATCCTGGTCTAGAGTCTACCTACATTAATGTAGAATTTAACTTCGCGGTGTTTTTTCCTTGCTGAGCGTTGAAAATCTTCAATTCATCTTACAAATTATGTTTTGTAATGTAATTTTGAACGAAGTGCAGTTGACTGTGAGGTTGTCTGTGATGAAAAATGTGTCTCCTAAATAATACTGTGTTTTATTCAGAAATGTTTAGATCAAGTTTAGATTCCGTCGCTTTGTTATGTTCTAGGCAGATTCATCTGTGGTGTGTTTGGTGGGAAAACAGTGTTGTGCATGCAGGGGAGATTCCACTGCTACGAGGGACACCACCCACAGCTAACTACACTCCCAATCAGGTAGACACATGCACCACGTGACATTATATGTCGCATTCTATTGAATCAAACTGTCCATACATATTGAGCATGAATGGCCATGATAATCTCAAACGCTTTCTTGTTTCACTTGATGACTTTTCTGAATTTTCATTATTTTCGTGTAATCGATCCCCTGCCATGGCAATGATATTGTGTGAGGATGAGCTCTCACTTGACCTCTAGCTTCAGATCTACCACAGCCTGACCGATTACGGCTGCAATAGTGGTCCCACGTAAAAGTTCTAGACGCAAAAAAAAAACGGCCTTGAGTCGCAAATAAAGCTTCGCTCAACAAAATAACTCAGTCTGAAATAAGGGGAAATAATAGAAACGGACTATGCTTAGACACGCTGGATAGCCTTTCATAGATCCTCTGCGAATCGCAGAAAACACAATAAAAAAATTATTTAGCGTGAAAATTTAAAAAAAAAATTTGTTAAGCATAGGTTCAAAGGCAAATATTGTTGTGCAGAAACATTGATTAAAAAATAGTTCTTATTAAGGGTCGATGAACATAGTGAAGACTCATATTGGTAGTGATGATTTTTTTTTATTTTCTAGGAAAATTTTTCACGTTCAAATTTGAGTTTTTGCGGTTTGATTTTTGTTTTCTTTCTAATTTCGGTGCATTTCCATTGTTAAAAGGAAGCAAACTCCCCTATCGAAGAGCGAAACTGTAAAGGTCACGAAAAACGTGATGCACTCCTCGTTTCGAAAAAGGAATTTAATTGTTAGATTTTCTAGCGGAATGGGAAATTTACCTCTTGATCCAGTTTTCTCAAATTGGATAAGTTTTATCAGAAAAGTGGCTATCATAAATTGTTTTAGAAATGCTAAGAGTTTTTAACCAGATTCTTACGTCGAAATTTGACAATTTTTCAAATAGTTTCAATAATGTTTTTTCTGTTTCCTGTATGTGTCTTTTTGCTAGTTTTGTACAAAAACAAAACTTATGTCATGGTTGTTTGTTTGCAAAACAAAAAAAAACAGTTTTTGTGATTCACTTTAGTATTAGTGTTTATTTAAGTTGGTCTGATCAAATTCTCTTCGGCAAGCAATTTATTAGTATGTGTTGTATCTGCTTCAGTGAAACCATTTTGTTGCTGCCTGGCAGTTAGAAGAAGTAATAATTGTATAGGACAGATGGGTCAGTGTGTCATGCAAATGACTCGTAATCAAGAGTTTTCTGATTGGAATCCAGTATTCGGAAAGTTCTCTATCAAACTTTCATCTGTCTAAAATGCTTCTCCTATCAGCTTTATTGTTGTTACTATTAAGTGTAAATTAATGAAGCGATACTCTGTTCTATAGCTCTTGATGATTTTCTTTGCTTGTTTTTTTCCGGTAAAAAGTCTTAAATTGCTCTAATAACTACAGAACTGCTGGTACATCGATGAATGCTCTTAGGTATATCTGCACTTTTTAAAATAAATTTAAGTTCATTTGCTAAAAGGTGGGCAAATTACGCTCTCTTACTAGAAAAGCCGCAAATTGCGCGAAAAACATGCGCAATTTCTGATTTGAAAAGTGGATTTAAGTTTTTAGGTTTATTCGCGGTAAAAAATTTTACCCATTGATGCATTTAGTTTATAAATGGACTTAGTTAACCTGATATATATTTTTTGGAGAAATATAAAGGTAAAGGTTTCAATCGTTTTTTTTCGTATCTTTGTTCATTTACACTTTTGCAATCTTATTTGGCTATCTTTACTTTTAAATTGCTGTCATTAGTGTTTGGTTTTTTAATCTTATAGCTCAATCGGATATTACTAATGCACATATTTTTGTGATGTAAAACTAGGTTGCATCCACTGTGCTAATACAAACGGATAGGCAAAGTTTGAAAATTGGAAACTTTTTTATTCACGTGGAAAACGATTAACTAAAAATTGAAAAACTTTTCACGATATATGCCACGGAGTTGATCGTCTTTTCTGTCGTTCGTTTTTGAAAGAAAAGGAAATTTACGATATGGTCACCTAATAAGTTCGCATTCGATGATGTGTTTTCCGCAGCAGCAGACAGCTTGTGACAAGATAATTCGTAGAAGAGGTAAAACGAATAATTCAGTTATACTGACCAATTAACGCTCGATATATTCTTAAAATTCTCGATCAAATAAGACCTGTAATCAGCATGGTTTTGAGATGAAATTTCTTGGTGGTTGTTTTGAGGAGCCAACTTTGACAAGCAGTTTCAAAATTACTTCAGGTAGTTGTTACCTTTGCAGGGTGTCAGGAAAAGTTATGGACTGTGCGCATAGTATCACAGAGAGCATCCCTGAATTACGTCTGTTTTGTTACCACTATTTCTAAGCATAGTATCACAGAGAGGAAAAGTTATGGACTGTGCGCATAGTATCACAGAGAGCATCCCTGAATTACGTCTGTTTTGTTACCACTATTTCTAAGCATAGTATCACAGAGAGGAAAAGTTATGGACTGTGCGCATAGTATCACAGAGAGCATCCCTGAATTACGTCTGTTTTGTTACCACTATTTCTAAGCATAGTATCACAGAGAGGAAAAGTTATGGACTGTGCGCATAGTATCACAGAGAGCATCCCTGAAGTACGTCTGTTTTGTTACCACTATTTCTAAGCATAGTATCACAGAGAGGAAAAGTTATGGACTGTGCGCATAGTATCACAGAGAGCATCCCTGACTTACGTCTGTTTTGTTACCACTATTTCTAAGCATAGTATCACAGAGAGGAAAAGTTATGGACTGTGCGCATAGTATCACAGAGAGCATCCCTGAATTACGTCTGTTTTGTTACCACTATTTCTAAGCATAGTATCACAGAGAGGAAAAGTTATGGACTGTGCGCATAGTATCACAGAGAGCATCCCTGAAGTACGTCTGTTTTGTTACCACTATTTCTAAGCATAGTATCACAGAGAGGAAAAGTTATGGACTGTGCGCATAGTATCACAGAGAGCATCCCTGACTTACGTCTGTTTTGTTACCACTATTTCTAAGCATAGTATCACAGAGAGGAAAAGTTATGGACTGTGCGCATAGTATCACAGAGAGCATCCCTGAATTACGTCTCTGTTTTGTTACCACTATTTCTAAATTTGAGAGGGAGCACACTAACAAAAGTAGTTTTTTTGCTCCGTACTGTGCAAAAAGCAGTATTTATTGAAACTTTTTCAAAAAGTAATCGCGAGACTCATATTGTGGCCAAAATAATGTGCTTAGTGCGAAATCAAAAATATTAGATCCGACTCTCTTGCAGCACCGGATGTTTTAGTGACTCGTAAAATAGCACCAATTGTAGCTTCGACTTTCTTCAGGATTATTTTCTAGCTTTAATTCGTGCCTTCTAAAAATCAAGCAATTTCGGCATGCATAATGTTTCAGTTAAAGTAAATTTTTGCAAATGTAATCCGTTAGCTTTTCAAATATTTAAAACATCCAATTCAAATGAATTACAAAGCTGTTCAATTATTTATGTATGTTGTTTTTAGGGTGATGTCTCTGTTGGGAATAAAGAGTCTAATCGTGACCAATGCGGCGGGGGGCATGAATGAACTTTTCTCAGTGGGGGACCTCATGCTCATCAAAGACCATATCAATCTAGCCGGTGAGCAGAAATACAGTGGCTCACTAAACTGTAACAACGTGTTCAAACTTTACTTAGTGCTCTCGCTATCTCTTAACAGTTGATTTTTCTGCCATTGTTTCTCGCAAAAGGAGTTGGCAATCATTTCACATTTTTTATTAGATTCAGTGAACTAAGTTACGAGATAATTTGCGTAATATCTATATGATCCACAATGGTTTTGCAATGAATAACTTCTCAAAAATAGTCGGCTTGCAATAGTTCTTTTTTAAAAAGAAAAAATATGGATCAAGTTGTTCAAAGACGCTAAATACTTCGAGAGAATACGGTTTGAAAATGCGCATGTGTCTTGAACAGCCAGATGCAGGCTTTTCTCGAGGGCTTCATTTCCAGAAACATTGTCTCGATTTGAACGACCTTGTTGTAATGTCAACAAAATAGATTTTCCGAACTTCAGTTAATTTCGCAAAAGGATTTTGACGAAAAATACTCAGACAGTCTTAATATTGACAAAGTCCATATATTGGGGTTTTTGGACTTTTTTGAGGCAATTAGATAATACTGGAGAAAGAAGCAAAGCAACTAGAAAGAAATGTATGTTAAATTGAGAAATAAAAACAGAAATCTAACAATTAAAAGCCATTATGGCCTCCCCTGTTTGAGAAGCTTAAATTCGCCCTTTACCACAATTTTTTTATCAAGTTTTTCATCACATTTTCTGAATAGAAAGTACTCCATGTCGTTATTTTTCCTTGAACCAAATATAGCAAATTTTGAGAGTTTTTGCGCCATTTTTTTCATAATGTAACACGTATGCTCAATTGGGCTGAGGTCAGGTCTACAAGAGGGCCAGGACAATAACGGAATTGCATTCGTCGCTAGTAATTGCGATGCGAAATCAAACTTTTACTGGCTTTTCTACCTAACTGAAGAATGTGTTTTAACCCATAGTTCAGCTATTTTTCCGTCAATTTGCTTCCCAAGGACGATATCTCGATTTTGCACACTGGTTAAGCAATATTTCTCTGGCGATGTCCCGAAACGCAAAACTAATGGTAGTAGCTGTAACTCCAAGTTGCCTTGCAGTTATAGCAGCATTCTGAAAAGGTTCGGTGCTTGTTGTATAATAACTCCAATGTCCTTAATCTTCCTGATCAGTTTAAATCCGCAACTTGTCCTGCAGCTAGGTTTCTCTGGGATAGTTTAAAAGTCGCTGAGCTTGAACATGGATAAAACTTTGATTTTTTCTCATTGAAAGAACACACCGGTTCATACCTTGGTAGCGATTCGAGTTTAAAAATCAAAGCTTTTTTGCAATTGCTTAGTGTAAATTGTTTGTGAAAATGTCGAAATTTTATGCGCCGTATGGAAAGATTTCATTGCGTGCAGAAAGCTTATTTAGAAATTTTTCAACTTGAATTCAAAACAGTTTCTCTGCGTTACTCTCTTTCTCCCGTTTATAGTAGGACTGAGGTGTGGTTCGCCAAAATCGGAGATGGTACATTTGTAGTAAAAAGAAAACCGCTACAACAAAAAAAAAATCGACGTTTAAGGAAAGTGACAGCTCGCAAGGTTTGAAATTAAATAAAACATAAAAAACTCGATTTAAGATCACCGGTGGGCGCGCTTTATTAGAAGGCGTCAAGGATAATTATCTGATAAAACGGGGATTGCAGTTTAGTTGAGAATTTTTGCGTTTTTGGTTTCTTTCATCAGTGGTGTTTTAATATCTAACTTTGTTTTCAGGAATGGTGGGTGCTTTGAACCCTCTGATTGGCCACAATGAGAGCAGGTATGGGGGAGAGAGGTTCATAGCGACTAGTAAAGCATACGACAAAGAATATGGACAACTGTTCAAGGCCGCAGCTGCCAAACTTGGACTCGCAGATATCATCAGAGGTATGAAAAACAAACCTGAAAATACTGTTTGTCATCAAGTTTTGTGAGGCTGATTTTACGAGGCTTACCAGTTGTATAAAAAGACGATTATACTTTATTACCGATAGTGACAATCAGCCATGGGGTGCCTAAGATTAGATTTAGCGTGATTTGATAGAGTGTTTAGTTAAACTAATCAGATCCGCTTGCTATTTACATTGGAATTGAATTTGCTGCATAAAAGCAAGTTCTCCTTCATTTCCGTTCGTGTGTGTTTGTGTTGTAGATGGCGTGTACACATTCCTGTCTGGGCCCTGTTTCGAGACCATAGCTGAAGTGAGGATGTTGAAGACTATGGGTGGAGATGCAGTGGGTATGTCCACAGTCCCAGAGGTCATTGGTCAGTACTACATTACTCATAAGGACAATTTTTGAAATGAGCCGTGAAAAGCAATTTACAAGTGCCCAAGTAGTTTTAGGAACTGGGTTTTTCTGGCATGCATCTCTTAATTTTTTCGCCTTCACTAAATCTGCTGCTCCTATTTTGATTTGTTTTTGTAATAATATTGAACAAAGTGATATAAGTGGTTTTTTAATCTGAGGCGATGTCATTTCCGTATTTTATCGTTCAAAAATTCAAAGCATAATAAATTTGAAATGAAAGAAAAGAAATAACCGAACGTCGATCAGTTTCCTTTATGCTGTGTCATGTATATTTTTGGGAATAATATTGAGCAAACTGAGATAAGTTTTCCTAAAATCTGTGGGGACCTTAATAATTATTTTTCCCACTTTTAGACGGTGAAAGCTTTGAACTAAAAGATGAAAAATCGGACATCGATCGAATTCCTGTTCATAGATTGTTGCCTAAATGTTTTTTTTCTCTTTCAAGTGGGCGTGCACTGTGGCATGCGTATTCTTGGCGTGTCTCTTATCACGAACGAGGCTGTGACGTCATACGAGTCAGTGGCAGTGGCCAATCACGAGGAAGTGTTGGAGACAGGTCGCAAGAGGGCGCAAGACATGGTCAAACTTGTGGAGGAGTTTCTCACACAACTGAAGTGAACAAAAATTCGATCACGATTTAACATCAATGTCACAATGAAGATAAATGGCTGGGAGAGAAAAAGTGAATCGCGGTAAAATGAATTGAAGAAAGCCTTGAGTTAAGGATTCAATCTCCGACCTCTGACTTGTTTAAGTGAACGATCCCTTTCAATTTAACTGTCTATTTTATGGAATTTGGGAGGCGAAAGTAATTTATTGCAGCTCAAAATAGTTGGTCACAATTTGCGGAAAACTGCACTTGAGCTGAAATTAATTTCTCAGTTGATGATATCTCTGTAAACTATGTGCTATCGCTGTATTTGAAGAATTGAAGAATTTATTTTTCAATCACTAAGCTGTCTACTTAATGTTGTAAATTTGTTTTGTAGATCACAGTTCTATCTTTGTAATAAAACTTTTTGTGTCTTTTTGTCATCGAGCTCAATAACATTGAGTGACCCCTACCTGACTAGGTTCGGCTTCAATATAGCCGTGGAAACATTGAAAGTCAAAACCAAAAGCGCTGCGCTCATACATTTTATCCCAGTAACCGCTCGGTTTTAATCCAAATACACTGCGAAATAAATCCACCATTCTATAATTGCAATTTATAGAATTGAGGTATGAATTGAGTGTGATAAATTTGAGTAAATGGAAATCAGTTCAACAGCAATTGCCTTTCGTTGCAAATTTATCGTGATCCGACGCCTAGTGACATAGAGATATGTTCGCCATCTGCACACAAGTGACTCGAATCCTGCTATATACTGCTCTTTAGTATTTTTATGCGCCAATTTTGTATCATCCCTAACAACTTGTAATTCGGTTTTTTTTTCATTGATGTACACCAGCAAGCTTCTAGGCAAAGTAATTCATCTTTTTGTTATTGCTGGCAGTTGACATAATTTATGCTCATTGTAGTTTCTTTTATTGTTTCTGGTTTATTTTTGCATTGCTGATGTATAACGGCATCTGTTCAGTCAAAATTGAAGTTTTTTTAAAGCATAGCTACCATTGCGATAAGCAAGAATGTGGCAACCGGCAGACTTTTTTCCCTCACAGAACTTAGCTCACAAGAATTCGTAAATTAATATGTTTCAGCTTGCTTTAAATTCAAATTTGATGAACGATTCAGAGCATCTGGCGTAGAGCTAACGCCTATGCTTGAGACGACAAAACCATTGAGTTGAGTTTGAATCCTGCAAACCTGATTTTTTTTACAAACTGGAAATTTTCTATTTTTTCGGACGATCATCTGTCTATAATTTTTTCGGCTTAGTTCCCGTAGCATGGACTCTTGTTGAACTTTTAGCTGTCTAAAATTATGAATGCCAAGTCTGAATGGTATAGTTAATCGAATTTGGAAATTTTTTGCGTAATTTTTGCTGCATTTTTTTTTTGAAATTTCAAAAATAGTTTGTGAATTAGAAAACGTTTTTTGAACTTTTTTTGAGTTTCTGCTGCGTCGGTTTATATTCACGTAATAATTACTCATGCGATTACTACGCTCGAGATTTAGTAATTTGGAACGTGCAAAGTTTCCCTGTAAGCAAGTTGTTTGAATGACAGAATCATTCAACCTTCCGTTTTAAATTCATTCAACTTATTTTTAAAATTAATTAAAAGTTACGGCTTAAAAGTTTTTGTTTTTATCAAATCGGCTTAGTGGTTTGATTTTGCGTCTTTTAATCAGCGAAAACAGTATCCTATGTGTGAGTATTTCTAGAAGCTTTTTCAAAAAAATATCCATTTTTTTGGGCTCAACTGGTGCCTGATCAAGAGTAGTCGTCTGGTTTGTTGCCGCTCCTAAATTTTGTTTTGATGCTAATTTACAGTTTTATGGTTTTACTTGGCATGTTTTTCTTTAAAAAAAAAACATTTTTTCAAGACAAATCGAAATAAATGTTTCAAAATTTTGGTGATTTTGTCTCATGTTCTATTTGCTAGTTTGTCACACTATGGTTGTGCAGTATAGCAAGTGGAGCGAAGCTCTGCTTCGGCTCTGTATTCAAATTTTTTTTCAAGCATGCGTCTCAGTGATTTTGGTTTGAGTTATTTTGAAGGAAAGTTATTTAAGTTTTGTTCAACTAATATTAACAAGTTTTGATCAAACTCATGAAATCTCTGAGTAATTTAGGCGTATATGAAAATGAATTCAATAGCAATTACCCTCAGTGTAGCTTTATCAGGCATCCAAATGCGTAGTGTTATTTTTTCAATCTGTCTTTCGGTGATTCTAATATTTGTGCAAAATGAACTAATAGTTAAAGGGACATTTTCTACTCAGTTCAAGATATGCGATCATTTAACCTGCGATCATTTTTCATCGCATGTTGGAGTTTTGAAGGATGGAAATTTGTCTATTTCTGGACTAAATCATGCGCGCTTTCATCTAGTTTTATATGGTAATCAGCGCGCAAACCCCAATATTTTGAGTGCGCGCAAACTTAAATATTTTGAGTGCGCGCAAACCCAAATATTTTGAGTGCGGGCAAACCCAAATAGTTTGAGTGCGCGCAAACACAAATAGTTTGAGTGCGCGCAAACCCAAATATTTTGAGTGCGCGCAAACCCAAATAGTTTGAGTGCGGCAGTATCTTCACCCGATTTTTTTCTACCACAAAGAAAGCCTATAGGGGTAAAGTGTGGCGTCATATTTGATTCCTTTCAGCCTCGATTTGGATATAAGTATTTCAAATTCCTTATTTAGGCGTTGAGACAAATAGTCTAATTAGAAGTGGTGTTGCAGTTTTTAGTTCAATCGTTACGTTGTTTGTTTTCTTTTTACTAATATGCCCGAAGCCAAGCTTTTTCGTCCGCTGAGTATCCAAACAGTCGATTGAGAGCCGATTTTTTAAGAGACGATTGAAATAGTACAAAGTCTACAGATCGTGTTTTTCATTTGTTTTTTAAAGGAAAGTTCAGGAATTCAAGGAAAAATTTTTCAGGCTCAAATTTAATTTTTCACGAATTGACCTTTGTTGATTTCTTTGTTCATTTACTTTGTTGAAAGGAAGGAAAACTCCACTATGACTCCAACAGCCGACGTGTTAAGGTCACAAAAAACGTTATTGACTTTCAGAAATCGAATTCAATTTTCAAGTTTCCCAGAGGATTTAAAACTTTATCTATTGATCCAGTTTTCAAATTGAGTTTTGATGTTTACTTGCGTTCATTGACTTTTTTCTACTGTCTGTTGGCTATGTTCATCAGTGGCTCCCAATACGATCTGTTTCAGGTTCTGAAAATGGAGAGAGTAGTTTTTACTACGAATAGCTTAGTCCGTTGTGCCAAAATGTTTGTATTTTTATGACTCGTAGAGCGTCCCGTCCGATCATTTTATTGTCCGAGGAATTTGGTTACAATTCTTGCAAAGAGCAATTTTGTATTTTCTTTTGGGTTCAATTCAGAATTCTTTTAATTTGGAACAATTCTTTTAGATAGTAGATAAACAACAGCTATCTTTTGCATCGAGAAATATTGTGATACAGAGACACGCAGTTTGGAGATGCTAAAATTTTTCGAGATGTACTATTTTTCTTTCTTTCCTTCTACTATAAGATGTTGCTTGTCTGGTACACTAGTGGACAAAATTAAGCGCAAGTTCAGGTTTTTACTCTCTAAAATGCCTGTTTTCAATGTCCTCTTTGGACATTATTCATTTCGAATTTCAGAAAATGTTTTACATAGACCAAGAGGATATGATCGGAGCAACCCCATCTAAGAGTTTATCAAGTTTTGATTTCAAACACCTACCAGTTGTTTCCGGGTTTGAAAATGCCAGTTTTCTTCATTTGCAAGAAGACTTATACTTCGCGTGAAAAAGTAAGCAGCGTCCGAAGTTTTCACACTGATTGTTTCCGTTTTTCTCGCGCTGAGATTGATTCACGTGACATGAACAATTGTTTTACTCCGCTTATTTGAGAAAGAATTCACTACGATGCGGAAAACTGGCCTTTTCAGACCCGGATTGGGTTGGTAAGTTTTTACGCTAGCAAGTATGAACTATCTTTTTCTTTCCAACCCAAGTCGCAAATAATGTTGTGATAAAGTGTGTTCATTTTGAACGGTGTTCATTATGATCAATAACCAGCTATTAAGTACAGCAAATGCTAAGGATATTCACATAGACTATTATTGATCCGACTTTCGTAACGAAAGTAACGGAATATTTGTGCTCGGGGTGGTTGTTTTCTTCTGACAAATTTCGACTTTTTATCAGCCATTTTTGACTGGATTTTGTATATCATTCAAAAAGTATTGTTATCTTGAGCTTAAACTTGAAAAAATGTTTCACTGTTATTATTTTTCGTAAAGTTATGGGGGTTTAAAAATTGCCAACTTGGGACAATTAAAGCGATATATTTCGCGCTAATAACGCGTAGGCGGAGATTTAACCCGTCATAGAAATAGTTCCAAATTGGTTCAAGAAAGCTTATTTGCCATAATTGATTTGTTATTAGGAGTGAGATATATCATTTTGTATTTTATATGGCGTGTGGGAGGATGCTTTCACAAAAAATCTAAATTAAAAAAAATTCTTTATTTTTATTACATTTAAATTTTATGTTATTACTGCTCCATAGACTGCTCTATAAATTGAGGCATGTTAGTTGGTTATTTTTTTTCAAATTGACTGGTACTGCTAATGTGTCATAATTGGCGTGTGTCACTTCACAAATTTTGTAGACTCATTAGCGTTATCTGTCATGTTTTTGTTTGTATATGCGAAGTGCAAGTTCGCCTCTGTTAAAACCATACTTTGATTATTTCTTAGGGTAGCTCTGATCATTTTCTCTTGGTATATGTAAAAACTTTTCTGAATTTCAAACTAAATGTTGTCAAAGTGAAAACAGGTGTTTTAGAGAGTAAAAACCTGAATTTGCGCTTAATTTTGTCCACTAGTCTATAAAAACACACGAGAGAAACGCGAACAAAACATGCACGTTGAAAAGTTTTTTGCGTCGTTACATAGTTCTTACTTTCTATTTCGTTTGTTATATTGCGTGTGGGGGTATGATTTTCACAAAAAATCTCAAATTTAAAAAAAATCTTTATTTTTACATTTAAATTTTATGTTAATACTGCTCCATAGACTGCTCTATATTTCGCGCTATTAACGCGTAGGCGGAGATTTCTACAAGTGAAATAAGTGACTGGCTTAGTGTAAGTGAGCGGTTTAAACTTTTCAGTGTATAGTAGCGTTGCTTTTTTCAATTAAAGCACGGAACTTTTTGAGCACGTGTGTTTTAGTTTAAGGTTTTTAGTGTGTAGGTGAGTTCAAAGTTGGAAAGCCTGTGTGATTTCAGTTTGAGTTATGTTCGAATGTATTTTGAATGCAAAGGTTCCTTGACGATTCACTAGATGTAGATCCAAGCAACACTCAGGACTGGAACTTTTTGTATGAGAGCCATAAGAGCATCGTCATGTCATCGGACGGGTGGCCTCAAACAGGTAATCATGTTCTTATTATTTGATATATCTTATTATCTTCTAGATCTTCATGATCTAGTATTATACAAGTGGAATAAGTGACTGGCTTAGTGTTAGTGAGCGGCTTAAATTTTGACGCAAAAGTTATAAGTAAATATGGAATTTTCTGAAGTTTAAGCAGTTAACGGCAAAATAGATAAACACGAATCTTTTGAAGCTTCTAAAATACAGGAATTTATTCAAATCAGTAATTTGTTGAAGAGTTACTGCTGTAAACAGTAGCGTGCCGAGGGAGGCTGGGGTGACCGTCCCCTTCAATTCTGGTTGCAAAAATTTTCCAAAGGGTCTCCCGTTTGGTATAATTTTGTAGATCCATTTTTGGCTGGTCAACCTCAAATCTTTTTCGAAAGGCGCTTTCGGCGCCGATATAACTTCTTAATTTGAGGGGAGCGCGCTCCGAAAAAAAAAAACGATTAAAATCTTTTTAAAAGTGCTGAAAATGTCATTTTTAGCCTGTTTTTTCATAAACTTGCCTGCGTCGAGAACGCTTTCCACAAAATACGGTCCTTTAGAATTTTTCGAAGAGCTGGGAAAATCAAATTGGTCGACCTATAAAAAAGGTCGACAAACTTTTAATTTTTTTTTTCGAAAAACCGACCCGTAGAAAAATTACTCGTTGTATATGATGCTCTGTAAGGTATTTTCAGCATCGCAGAAGTCTTCTGAGAAATCTGTATGGAAAATCCTCAGTTGAAACTATTTCACATTTTCTAAAAACAGACATTTTTTGTTCATACACTGAGAACAACTGAATGTTCAAATTTAGATTCAGAAGATAAAAATTTGGATGGAAATGAGAATAAGAAACAGGCAAAAGAGCAACAGCAGCCTACTTCATCCAAAGGGGCAGCTGGCGGGGGAGGGGGAGGGGGAGAGGGAGGAGGGAAGGATTCTCATCTGGCTCAGAGTCAGGACCAGTCGTACGAACACAGCAGCCATTTAATTTAAGTCTCAGGAGACATAATGCGTTTTTCAAGTTTTGCAACAGTTATAGCTGAATTTGTTGGAGTTTGCCCATATATATTCGATCCAAAGCAACCGTTATTTTTTCATTTGCCTATACAGTAACGAGATTCTAAATTGATTTCCCAATTTAGTACTGGTTTTGATCGGGAATTGCTGAAGGAATTTTTCAAAATGATATAAAGGGCTTTTTTCGGAATTAAACTATTGACAGATTCAGTTTTTTCTCAGAGAAGTTTCAGATCTTTTTTGCCGAGAGATTTGTTTAAGAAACGAAAATCTAGTAAACAATTTGCATTTGAATCACTTGTCCGCAAAAGTTGGACTTTGTTGCTGTGGTTGTGTAGTGGTAACTCGACCACTCCGGAGATAGAGGACGAAGTGGCCCAGATCTATGGCTCCACCTGGCTCAGGAGGAAGGACTCCGCAGACATGTATGGACAAACCAACAGCTTCGTCAAAAAGGTTAGACAGGTTGAATGGTTCGCTGAAACAAATATTCAATTATGCGATTTACCACAAGTTTTTTTGCAATGCAAATGCAGATTTTTCGTTTTTCAAAATCAGCGATTACAATTACTCATCGGAGAGAGTTGAGTCATATATCATTTTAATGCCCTCACAGTCGTGATTTGATTTTTCCTAGTGTCGAGAAAACCGGTTTGAAACTTTTGGTCTTTACTCTCAATTCGAGCGACTAGAGCGAGCGAGCAGGCTTACACTAGCTTGTTTTAATGGCTTAAAAGCTTGCAATAGCTCAATTTAAAACGTTTAAACGTAGTTTTACTCGAGTAAAGTTAATTTTTTAGAATATTTTGGCGCCTTTTTGGAATCGAAAACTTTTAAATTCAAAAAACTGCAAAAAAAATTTCAATTTTCTTATTTTACTATGACTGTCGAATATGCCTAATATCTAGGTTTTTAATCAGCTCCCTTTATCTCACCACGCCGCCGCAAATTAAAAACGGGGAATAGCCTGATCTGAGTTGCGCTAACGTGCTTCTAGTTGATCGAGAGAGCAGTTCCTCGATCGAGGAAATGTCAGGTGAGCGCAAAGGGAGAAGTTTGAGAGGACGAGCGTCATTGACTGCGTTGGTAACGTATTTAGTGATTTTTTAAAACCAAGTTGATTTTGTCGGTGTTATTGTTAAATTGTTAAAAGGGGGGAGGGGTTAAAATCATGGCGCTCGCAAAATATTTGGTCCAGTTTTTCTTTGAAAATTGATTTGAAGTTTGATTTGATTTGTGTTGAAGAGGACGGGAAATAAATGAATGGGGAATGATATTTAAAAAATTGAGTGGACAGAAGTTTATTGTGCTGCTGCACGGAAAGTACTTCGCATTTAGTGTGTTGATGATCTACAGAGCTCGGCGAACTGTGTATTCAACGACTTATAATTTGTTCAGGGTGGAGTTGCTTGCAGCGGGGACCAAATAAGTCATGAGTAATCGAATATTGTCAATCTTTGTTTTGTTCAGGGTTTAATCTTTCTTAAATTTGATTTTTCTTCACTGAAAGGATGTTTTTTTTTTGCTTTTTTTACTGTCTTAGCCTCACAATATTTCTCTTTTATGATAGAACTATCAATCCCCAATCCTCCAGTATCGATGTGGGCTTGAGTTTTGTCATTTATGTTTCTTTGGCCATCCTAAACCCTTAAGTTACCAGAATCCACAACTGCTTCTGAGTCCTTGGTTTGTGTCCAACTCTCTCTTGGCGCGTAAATTTAACCCCCTTTCTGCAAATCCTTCTAATTTATCCATCTGATCTTCGAGAATAAGTTCGGTTTCTGTCAGAACACAAAGACCAGGTTCACAACGTTCACTGTGCCAAATGTGAAACCCGTTGTCTCTGGAAGATCTTAGATTGAAATGATCTGGAGAAAGTGAGTCCCTCTACCTAATTCTTAGTGTTGGTTTATTGCATGTAGAGTTTTTTCCGATTACAAGTCGTCTACGCTCATTCATGATAAACGGTGTGAGCTATGGATCGACGCCTGCTCTCTTCGCTGCTTTGGCTTGTGCCCCGTGGGTCTCACTGCTTTGTGATTTGGCAACCATAATGAAAGCGATATTGACTGAGAGAATATCCTTGTTTCTGGCAACATGATTAGCAACATGGGCAGATCTAGGATTTTCTCGAGGGGGGGTTCGGATTTTCAAAAAAGTTCGAAAATCTTGTCGACCTTCTTTTTAGGTCGATCAAATTGATTTTCTGAGCTCTTCCAAAGCACCAAAAAGACCGTTGTGGTCAAATTTCTTGCGCCGGAGGCAAAATTTTGAAAAAACAGGCCAAAAAAGGCGTTTTAGGCACTTTTTTTTGAAAAGTGACCAAAAAATCGCGTTTTTTTGGCGCGCGCTCCTCCATCAAAGTTAGTGTATATTGGCGCCAAAGGCGCCTTTAGAAAAATTTTAAGGTCCGTCAGCCAAAAATGGATATCTGAAAATATTACAAAGGGGGGGGGGGCTTGTACCCTTTGGGTCGGCAGGTTTTCGAATCCCTGAGGGGGGGGACGCGCCCCCCTCCTAAATCATGATTAGCAACATGAGGTTGTTCGCTGTAATCACCTTTTTCTCCAGCTTTGAACAAGAAATTCCAATCATTTCTAAATCAAATTAAGTTTGGTTGTACAAAGTCTGAGACTAAAGTTACAAAATAATTCTACTGAGAGTCTACCTCAATACTAAGACTGGCATCAGTAAGTTTTTCTTCTGAGATTTTTAAAGTTTTGATAAGTTGCGATATCTCCAAAGTTTTGTGGATTAATGGTGAAGGCTTTTTTTGCAAACTTGGCTCCGCGGCAAACCAGCAAATTACTTTGTATAACTGGTTTGATTCAATATTGGTAACTTTAAAGTAAAACTGAAATTAGAACATAATTACTCATTTTACAATACAAATATTGTAATGCAAATAATAATTATCTTATATCTTTCTGCCTGTAGAGTTCATCGGTGCCGAAGTGTGAGCGACATGTGTTGGTGGAGTGTGCATTCTGGTGTCAGGAGTGCAGTGTGGCCATCTGTCTCAAGTGTGTCCAAAATGCACACAGGGGCCATAGTTTCCTCCTCCTAGACTCCATCATAGATTACAAGGTAAAAATATGCTTGAGCATCAGTAGTAAAATACTTACAAGGCTTAAAAGTGTCCGTCATAGAGTACAATATAGACAAGTTGTAAAATCAGTAGCGATTTCTGATGGCAGTAAAGTTGAAATTCGTAGCATTTCGGGTCATCCGTCGTCCAAATTTGTACCGTTGCAGGTCAAAGTTTTGCCCGAATTTTTTCAAGCTTTTGTTAAATATTCAAGTTAAAACCATAAGCAGCGAGGAAAACGACAAGAAGTACACGAGTTTTTAAGTTCTTCAGGATGAACTGCTTTTGCGTCCCTGCTAAAGAACTGCATGCAATTTTTTAGCCTTTTTCGGTCCTGGGATTTTTGCGGATCTCTCTAACTATTCCCCCTTTTGCAACGAGGGATTCGTTACCAGGTACAAAGCTTACATATGCTTAACCATTGAATTATTGTTTAGTTGGGGTGGCAATTCGTTACTGGGTATCCTATGGGGGAAATAGTTAAAGAGATCCAGTTTCGCCTCACTTATCCTAGCCGCTTGTTACGGTCGAGACTGCAAGAAAGTTGAGTTTCAACTTCATGTTTTCAGGTGAAAGAAGCCATCTACAGACTTGATTTCCTGAAGAAAAACATGTCCTATGTCGAAAGCAACATAGTCGCATGTCAGAATGAAATCGACTTCCACAACAACCAAGTCAAGTTGTTCATACGTAGACAACGTGAGTGCAATGAAATTCGTGAACTACCTAATGTGTTCACAGAACATATGTCTGAATTGAAAAACATGGCCAATGGTTTAACTCATGAAGTTGATGAGAAAATTCTGTCGAAGGTTTTGAAAGTGTTACAGAAAACAGACGACGATTTCTTTTGGGTTAAATCTACGCTGAAATCTCCGACGGTGAAAACATTACCTTATTCCATGCAGACACAAAGGTTCAAGTTCACTGTCAACCCCTGTACGTTGTCAGCATTTCGCTTGTTCAAAAAGAAGGAAAATAATTTGTTGGCTACAAAGATATCTTGCCATCCTATAGAAAAACCGGATAAACCTGATTCGAAAAAATCAAAATGGGAGGTGAAGGCTGACTTCAAGGTACTCGTTTGGTATTTTAATCACGGATTTTTAAAAGTGAAAACCTATCTATGAAGCAAAGTAGAAATTCAACAGAATGCAATTTTAAATCTAGAATTTCCAGTGGCATTATAATGCATGCTGGTTAAGAATAATGATCGTTGGGAGTACTCTATTTCGGTCGTGATTTTTTTCGGGAAAAAAGTCTTAAAATTTGTTCACGCTCAATTTTGAATTTTCGCGGTTTGATGTTTGATTTTTTTAAATGCATGTCCTTTCCTTTGTTAGAAGGAAGGCAAACTCAACTATCGAACAGCTAAAGTGTAAAGGTCAGGAAAAACGTGATCGTCTTCTAATTTCGAAAAAGGAATTTAATTATTAGATTTCCCAGCGAAATATAAATTTTACATATTGATCTAGTTTTCTCATATTGGGTAAATTTTATCGCGAAGTGTCAGTCATAAATTGTTCTAGAAATGCAGAGCTTTAAGCCAAATATTTTTGTCGAAATCGGACGTTTCCTTGCGTCCATTGACTCTTTTCTAACTGTATTTCCAAATTGGGTCAATTTTATCAAAAAGAACCAATCATAAATTGTTTAAAATTCAAATAGTTTAAAAGGCATATATTTTTTTCTGTAATTTTTTTAAAGTTTTTTTTTGAAATCAAGTTAGTTTTTTTTCTGTTTTTTGCGTTCAGTACTCTTTTTCCAACTGCCAGTTGGCAATATTCAAGTTTTTGACAAATCGATTGGCTTCAACTTGTCAATTAGAGTCATTCACAAAGTTTTAGCAGAAGAGAAATCTTTAAAAATGACTTTTGGACTAAACGAGTACCTTTTTTACTCTCAGTTCTCATTGTTGAGTGTGATGAACAGTCACCACAATCTGACTAAAACAGTAGTGGGTCACACATTCAACTCAAACTCCACCAGCTACAAGATCAAGTTCGCCACTCTCCTCCCATGGAGTGAATACGAAGACTCGACGGGAAAGAGGAATGTCATGCTGGAGCTGCTTGTGCATTATGAGAAGATATAAATTAAATTGATATTGTGATAGAAGATGCTGTTTGAAAATTGAGGTCTCTTTAAAAGCCCCATCGCAGCTTCTGCCCAATCTCACATCGAGAAAAGGGGTAGATTTTTTGCTATGTATTCCTTTCCTATTTGCTTAAACATCAGATAATTCCTTTATGAGTGAATTAAATTTTCTGGGTAATGAATGTTGGGGGGGGGGGGGGGGGGGTATGTTAGTTAAAGAGGTTCGAATATTTCAAATATTATACTGAAATGAAGATTTGATTGTTTTGAAAAATTGTTGATCGGTTTTGCTTTCGTCGTAAATGTTATTTTGAAATTTGTTTATTTATTGAAATTATAAAAATGGCAATTTGCGTTTTTTTTTCATGTGATTTCGTTGTCGTGTGTGTGATTTCGTTGTCGTGTGATGAATACAAATGGAAGAATGACTTAGAGTTGTGGTCAAACTAGTCAGACCTTATGGAATCTTTGCTTGCGTCTTTGCAAAGTTGTGATTAATTGCGGAAACAAGCGTTTATGTTTTGAAACGAGTTCGCATTTTTCGCTGCCAAATTGACTAAAATTATTTATTTTTCTCTTCTCTAGTTTTTTTTAAAGCTTTTCCCCTTTTTTCTCTGTGCCATCTGTTCTCAGCTTGATTTTGTACCCTCTTTTTTCTCTTCCCTTTTTACCCGTCCTCTAAATGGTTGATTGACGCCCCATTTTTTATTAAAGATGCAGCTGAGCTTCATCATATGACTGCATACAAGAAAATGCTCGGATAACGTGTACTTTAGAAATAGCATCTCCCAATTTTAATTATTTTGCTTCGCATGGAAGAATAAAATTTAGTTTCTAGCTGGTTCAATAACTCATTACACAAGAGAAGCTTATTCATTTTCACGAAAGTTTTTTTACAACCTACGTTGCAAATAAAAGCAGGGTGACCACTGGGTCACTATTTTAGTGACCAGTCACTATTGGTCACTAATTGGTCACTATTTTTTCAATGTTCACTAAAAGTCACTATTTACAACGGTTTTTGGTGACGGATCCTAAAATTTTTGGCGCCAATATATACTAAAATTGAGGGGGGAGCGCGCGCCGAAAAAACGCAATTTTTTTTTCAACATTTTTCAAAAAGTGCCTAAAACTGACTTTTTCAGCCTGTTTATTCAAAATTATGCCTGCGGCGCAGAAATTTTGGCCAAAACAGGGACTTTTTAGTGCTTTGAAAGAGCTTGAAAAATTAATTTGGACGAACTAAATAAAAGCTCGACAAAAAATTCGAAAATTGTCATAGTCACTATTTTTCTCTCAAGAAAAGTGGTCACCCTGAATAAAAGTGCTCATTTGGTGGCACTTTTGGTATATTTCAATTTTATCTTATTTAAGCTTAATTGAGCATAGGTATTTTAATAGCATATATTGCTGATTTATTTTTGGCTACGGTTAGGTCTTTGAAAAAAAAAACTGGTATTTTGAAAATGTATGGTATTTTTTGTTTTTTTTTTGCGACGCTTCGGAAAAATTTTCTCAAAAAAAACTACTGTGCTGATTTTCAAAAAAAATGGTACCATGGAAAAATTGGCTGCTATTCTCGGTGCCGGTATATTTTGCTAGAGTCTTTCCATTATTACCCATGTTCTACGACCTTCGAAATTTTCTGTAGGGGGATTTTTGACCTAATCGTTTTTTTTTTCTTCATTTTCTCAAATTTTGAAAGCACAAATATGAGGTGAAAGTTTCAAAAAAAAAAATTTGGGGTATTTCTTCTCGAGTGGCTATTCCTAAATTCGGTCGAAATTTTTTTTGACATTTTGTTTAATTTGAATTTTTTTCTCAGAAACTACCCTGCGAAATTGAAGTTGTTTTTTTTTGGTCGAATTTTTGCTACTTTGCATTGGCAATTTGATAGAAACTCTAGCCGCTTCATCGGTGGCTAGTGTTTTTTAAAGTACAAGCGATCGTCGAATAGATATGAGAACATGATAGTCCCAACCTCGGCAAAAAAATTTTCTCACTTTGTATTTTTAATCTTTTCTTTTTGCCTTATTTCACTTTGTTTTGCCGTTTTGCCTGTTTAGAGCTCTTTGTTTTGCACTTTCCTCCCTTGTGTTTGCGAAATACTGCTTCGCCTCTGGGTAATTTTACGATAGAATTTAATAACTTATATAGCTGCACATAGTGTTTATTTGAATTGCCACAGCTCTTATGTTGGTCCTATTCCTTGTAAATAAATTGTCTTAAATTGAAACATAATAAAGTTTTCGATACTATTCAGCCACTTCAGCTAGCAAAAGACCGTACTTTACCATATATAGGTTGTTTGAACTTAAAAAAAAACAGTTTTATATACGCTTAAAACAAGGTAAAACTGTCTAATATTGTTTGACCTCAGAAAAATTACTACCGAAAATTTAAATTTCTTAAATTTAATTAATTTTTGTCAATAACCCATTGAAGGGTATACACGTTATAATTGTTTGATGTTGGCTGAAGTGAGCTAACGTGAAACATAAAGCGCAGTAAACACACACTTCGTGCAAGACTCTCTAAACACGACCGTTTGTCTTCTAAAAATTACGCTTAAATACGTTTCGGGAAAGATACATAACAAATTGAGCTTTTCCTTCCTTCTGCCGGAGCTCTCAATGTGACTTATTCGACAATAGATTGTCGAAAACCTGGAGACAATTAAATCTTAGCTTCACTCCGATGGAAAACTTCTAACTTGTGCTCGGGGTGAGGTTTCTTTCTTCAGACAAATTTCAACTTTTTTCTAGGCGTTTTTGATGGAATTTTAAAACTATCATCCAAAAAGTATTGTTGTTCTAAGCTTAAATTTGAAAAGATATTTCACCTGTGATCAGTTTTCGTAAAGTTACCGGGGTTTAAAGATTGCCATTTTGGCAAAATTGGGACAATTAATGCGCGATATATTTCAACGCGTAAGCGGAGATTTGATCCGTCTTAGTAATCGTTCCAAATTGGTTGAAGGAAGCTTGTTTGTCATAATTGATTCGTTACTAGGAGCGAAATCTATCTTTTTGTACTCTATATGTCGTATAGGGTGATGATTTCAAAGAAAAATCTCAAATTCAAAAAAATCTGTTTTTCTTATTACAATTAGTTTTTTCATGTTACTACTGCTTCATAGACCTTAACAGGCAGTCGGAACATTCAGGACCCAGCCCTGATACGCGCAGTCTTGTTTCTTTTATTCCCCATGAAGTTAAATTCTGACTCTTCTCCATAATTTAACTTTTCCGATATCATAGTTGTTTCATATACTATTTTTTTGAATGCGTTAGCTTACCATATTACGTATGAAGAACAAATTCTCTGAGAATAATTATGTTTTCTTGCCATGTAAAATCTCATTACAAAATTAGGCAACGTTGCCATTACAAGGCAAAACTGTAAAGAAGTACCAAATTATGCATGTAGGTTACTGGAATCCTGCGACATGCCTTTTAAAGCTAGTAGTCGAAAACGATTGCAAAATTTACAGCCAGATACTTCATCGATTATGCTCGCAGTTTTCAGAAGTTTTCTCAAAATGAAACAGGAAACATATTGTGACTTTTTCGAACAATTTCAAAGGTGATCGCTACTTGAAGTCTAAGTTGTTCCTCTGACAAGGTTACGAATGTTTGATGATATCACATATAATATACGTCTCATATAGTATAATCAGTATAGTCTCAAGTACTCATAGGGCGTGCCGATAGGGCGTGTGGGGGGGGAGGGGTTGTAACCCTCGCACCTGAATTCTGGCTACCATCCCCCCCCCCCCAAAAAAAAAGCCCGATAAAATTTCTGAATATTATTGGAAATTTTGCCCCTGTTGAAAAATTCCTTGTGTAGGCTAGAATTGCAAAACTTTAGTGTACCTTGATAGAGCGCATGAGTATTTTATTTGTTGGTGTTTTTTTGCAGAACTTGAAATTCTCAACCATATGAAAAATTTATTTTTTAGTAATCTATCCATTTTTCTAATTGACGTTGCATTTGGCATGTTGTTTAAGAAGTCCTTATTGTGACATGTTTCATTACACTGCGGGTGACGTGCATTAGTAAGAACCTTCATTTTTCCAACCCAAGTCGCAAATAATAGTGCTACTTCTGGTGGCATTTTGAATCGCTAGGCTGCTGTAGCAGTATAGTGACATATGTGTTTTGACATTTGATTAGTTAAAAGTTAACACAGTTGATTCATTTTTAATTCATTGAATGAACCGAAAAAAGGTTTTCGTTTCAACAGCAGTACAATGATAAAAAGCTCGTTACAGAAATTTTCCAACTCGCATAATTTATAAACATTTTGGCTGTATGCGTTCCAATTTATTACATGCAAAATTTTGCTGCATCGACTTGGCAATTTTTCAGCACATGTTGCTGCAATTTTGATGGCTAGTTGCAGGGAAGCTTTAAGCGTCGGTGGCTCTGTGGTTAGAGCGTGAGACTCATAATCGCTAGGTCGCAGATCGAATCCGGCACGTAGCCGAGTTTTTCCAATTCGAGGTGTATTTCTATTTTTTCTTTTTTAACTTGATAGAGCTGCGTTCTCGCTTGTGTGACTACTTTTAATATTTTACACTGTTTTATGTTTTTTTGAATTCAACTTTTATATTTCCAAGGTCCTTTTTAAACTATACATCTGTTGAAGCGTGAATGCTTTAACTGTTCAGTTCTTTCCTTATTTCGAGATGCAAATTTTCGCTTCGGTTTTTATTTCACAGAAATTAAAAACTCACTCCTATGGTAGTGTCTTATCAGGGTACACTGAAGAGTGACATTTCTGCCCTCCAAATATGACTGCTCAATCTTTTTGGTTTCCGAGATATGGCAGTTTTATGATTTTTTTTCAAAAACTTAGATGTAAAAAGTTTTCACAGAACTTTGTTTTAAAACTATGACAGGGTGCTCTTGGGGCCACTCAGGGGCTGTAAATCTGGACTTTAAATATTACCGTTCAAATCCTTAGGCTTTTCGTTTTTTTGCGTTTTTTATAATTTTTTTTCAAAAGACATGGGTTTAATTTTTTTTTTCAGAACTGGAAATTCTCAACCCTATGGAGTTGTTATATCGGATAAACTTAAGGGTTG